GCTCATCGAACATCTGACCCGGTCGGGTCCTTCACCTGACCCGGTCGGGTCTCACATTCCAGAGAGTCCCCAGGTCTCTGCTTCAACATACCCAGTCGGGTCCTTCATCTGACCCGGTCGGGTATCAGTTCTGAAACTCTGAACAAGACTCCATCTTCAACAGGGGAAGCCCGAAGTTTGGTATAACTCTTTATCTTAGTAGTAATTCTCGAATAAATTAACTAGCTAATCCTATATTACATAATAAGTCTTCCTTGTTGATGATCTGTCTTGGTTCAAAATGAGATGATATTAAACAGTTATAGCTTAGTACTAGTTTTTTTTGCTAGATTATGAATTGTACCAAGAACTGATCTCAGACCGGGCCTAGTTGGATTTTTCTGGATTGATAATATTATTGTTTCTAAAGTTAGCACTACCCATGTAGATAGTTTAAGTGGAAACATACAGGCAGTAATAGTTGAAGGGGCTTTAGAGGTTGTGTGAGTTGCAAAGATTTGAAGGGAGCATCTTCTAAAAAAGTGAGCTGGAAGGCAAGGTTGCATTTAACACCAGAAGAAAACCGAGGCATGAAAAATTCAGAAAACCGAGGCATGAAAAATCCAGAAAACCGGGGCATGAAAAATCGTCCTAGTGCACCAGAAGATTATCTCCAAAAGATTAGAGAGATGTTACAAGGTCAAGGAAGCAAAGATTAAATTCAAGAGCTTGAAATGAGATTTGTCGCTGCATTATTGTTCAAACATGACGTAGTTTTTTTAGATACATTTTGTAGCTTAGGCAATTGATATGTTGAATATCAAATTGATGTTTAACTACTTTAATGCTTATTTATTACTTTTGAATTGAAATGTGAATGATTAAATTTAAAATCGTATTCATGTTTCTATTGTGTGTTATGGTTATGTGCAATATATTAATTATTATATAATTTTATATTATATTTTCATCAATAAGTTAATCAGATAAATAATAAAAAATTAGTTATAATAACGAAGGGAATATGGTCGCAAATACTCCATTGAGGTTGTTGCAATTGTTGATTATTGTTTGTAAAACTCTAATTTAGCGAAGGGAAAGTAGTCGCAATTCTTTATAAGAAGTAGTCTCAAATAATATCATTAGCGACTGTATTTTAGGTGGTCCCAAATAGTTTTAGCGACCGCCCACTTTTTTCGGTCGCAAATAACCTTTTGCGGCGGAGCCTATAGCGACGGCCGCGCGACCAGTTTTTGCGGTCGCAAATGATTATTAGTGACCGTTTTTTTTAGTTTTTGCGACCACTTTTCCCTTCGCTAATAGGTCATTTTCTTGTGGTGATTGTAGGCCTACCAAAGACCACAGGTGGATTTGATGGCATTTGGGTAATTGTAGACCGATTAACCAAGTCGGCCCACTTTATTCCCATTGCGGTAACCATGAATGTGGAGAAGTTGGCTTGGCTGTATGTCCGTGAGATCGATAGTCCCCAAGACTATAATTTCTGATAGAGACACCAAGTTCACATCACACTTTTGGGAAAGTGTGCAGCGGTCATTGGGAACAAAATTGAAGTACAACACAGCCTTTCACCCACAGACTGATGGGCAGACCGAGAGGGTCAACCGAGTTCTCGAGGACATGTTAAGGGCGTGTGCTATCGACTTTCAGGACAGTTGGGTGAAATACTTAAGCCTCGCGGAATTCGCTTACAACAATAGTTACCAGGCTACCATTGGCAAGGCTCCATACGAGGCGTTGTACGGGAGAAGGTGCAGGTCCCCTATCACGTGGTGTGAGTGTGGGGAAAAGAGAATAATGGAGGAACAGCTTGAAGGTAGAACTAAAATAATCGAGGAGACATCCGAGTCCATCAAAACCATCCGACAACGGATTGAGGCAGCCCAATGTCGACAGAAGAGTTATGCCGACGCTAAGAGACGACCCCTTGAGTTCCAAGAAGGAGAACGTGTCTTCGTGAAGGTCACTCCAATGAAAGGGGTGATGAGGTTTGGTAGGAAAGGTAAGTTAAGTCCGCGATTTGTGGGACCATTTGAGATAACCAAGAAAATAGGTAAAGTTGCTTATGAAGTGGCACTACCGGAGGAGATGGCAGGTATACACAATGTGTTCCACATTTCGATGCTCAAAAGATATTACGAGAGCCCAGAACATATCCTTATACCTCCACAAGTAGAGACTCAACCGAATATGACTTACGAAGAAAAACCAGTGAAAATACTTGATCGTGAGATTAAACGTCTAAGAAACAAAGAGATAACGTTAGTAAAGGTACTGTGGAGGAATCACAAGACGGAGGAAGCAACATGGGAACCGGAGGAAGCCATGAGGAAGCGCTACCCTGAGTTATTCTAGAGTAGATGGACTTAAATGATGTATTTGAAATAGTTGAGGGTCTATTTGACCCTTTTTCCTGCATATTATTACATACAGTTATTTGTTGTAATGCATTATAAGTTGATACATACTAATTGATACACACATATTCATTAAAGATACAAACTAATACATAAGTACAATATAAGTGATACTGACCGAGACAATGAGATACTCTAAAAATAATACCTATTTTGACCATTTATACATACTGATAAAGTATTTATTTTTAATGTTTTAATTTTCTTAAGAAACGTAGATGAGTTTATTTGATGCTTTTTTTTAGTACATGGGTTTATGTGACCTATTTGCAAATTGCAATTATAGAAGGGTTATTTGACCCTTTTTCCAATACAAATAGACAATTCAATGAAATATAAATTTTATGATGTTTAAAATATACAAATTAGAGAATCTAAACATTATATACCTTTTGGAATCTTGAATAATACTCCGTACATAACATCTAAAAAATCAACATATGCCAATACTACGTTTTAAATGTTTAAAGGCCCATTACAAGAGTAGGTTCCGGTTCCAAACACCTATTGTATCTCCTAAAAGACGATCATGTCTTCATTTGATCTAGGGAAAAATAATAAAAATACCCCAAACTTTGACGGGGTGTGAGGTAAGCAGTCCTAACTTGCATATATAACTTAAATACCCCAAACTTTATATAAAAAGTCATTTTTGCACCATTGTCATGTATTATATTTTTCAAAAATGTAAATTTAAAGAGTTAATTGCATAATTTAAAATAGTTTAGGATTCATGAAGACACAATTAACATTTTAAACTTCTATTGAGAAATAACAATGTTACATACGCCCAATCTATATAATTGCAATATTTTTAATTTACTATTTTAACTTATGCAATTAACTCCGTGGATTTACATTTATATAAAGTTTGGAATATTTGAATTACATATACAAGTTTGAGTTGTTCATCTCACACCTCTTAAAATTTTGGGGTATTTTAATTATTTTTCCCTTTAATCTACAAGCTAAGAGTAAAAAGTAAATCATACGTAGTAAATCTCCCCGATTCAACTGCGTACGTATGTAGTGGAGAATGACTTTCTTTTGTAGTACCAACATGGCAACATGGCTTGTATATTGATCAGGGTATAGTATGGGCAGTGTATTAATTAAACATTTAATATCATCTCTTAGACCATAGTACATTAAACGAATTGAAAATCCTTTTCTAATGTTCTCTATTCGGGTGAAGCATAATATATTGTAGTACCAAGTACGAACTGCCAAGTGTGGAGTATGATTTATGCGTGCATTTATGGATACTAATAATTACTAAAGCAGCTCAATAAATCCATTATCTCCATCCCCTAGTTATATAGAGTCTACGTCCGAGTTTCAATTCTCATTCAGTCTTCGATCAATTCTCCAGCACTCCACCCTTCTAACGAACTTTCCTCAATTCATTTTGCCTTATTGAATGGTAACCTCTATCTCTAGCTATTTCTTTTTAATGTTGTCTCCTTTCATGCTTTTTATCCTTGTACAGTTGTACTACTGAGATCTTACAATGTTATGATTACGTTAAACTGTTTTACGATAGTATTTTGTAATGTTTCTTTAAGTATAAAATGTTAGGTTTCATGCATATGTTATTGTTATTGTTATTATATCTTGCCCCTCTAGTATTTATACGAAACAAATAAAATGCTATTTTTATTATATCTTTGAGCTTTATACGAAGTAATTTAATACGACCCAAGTAATATACATTCACACAAACACATGCACATCATTTGTGTCCAACGAAATTAGCCTGTTTATGATACTTCATGGACATCTAGCGGAAATAATTAAGTGCTGGTTTGGTGTGACATTTTTATTTTCTTTTTTATCAATTTTATTTTCTTTTTTATCATTTTTATTTAGTGATATGGTTTACTTTTTACTGTTGTCAAATTGCACATCCTAAAAGACGGTCATGTGTTCATTTAATCTACAAGCTAAGAGTAAAAAGTACAGGCTAAAGGGTCAAATAGGCCCCTGAACTGACTTATAGTGTTCAATTAACCCCTTATATAGGAGGTTCTGCTGGGCCGTCGCCAATTGGGGCGGTTCCTGTGGAATTTTTTGATGAATTTTTTTGAGAATCTTCTTCATTAAGTCTAGTTTACTCATACCAAATTTCAGCTAAAAATTCAACCAGGAAGGTTGTCAAGTGATTTTTTGAAGATAACTGCGAAGTTAAACAGTGCAGTACATTTCGGAAAATCATTTGACTGCCTTCCCGGTTGAATTTTTAGCTGAAATTTGGTATGGGTAAACCAGACTTAATGACGAAGATTCTCAAAAACATTTTAGCGACGGCCGGGCAGAACTTCTTATATAAGGGACTAATTGAACACTTTAAGTAAGTTCAAGGACATATTTGAACCTTTAGCCAAAAGTAAATCATTCGTAGTATAGTAAATATCTCCAATTCAACTGCCTACGTATGTACGTAGTGGAGAATGATGACTTTCCTTTTGTAGTACCAACATGGCATCATGGCTGATATTGATCAGGGTATAGTATTTTTTTTTTGAAAGATGATCAGGGTATAGTATGGGCAGTGTAATAATTAATCATTTAGTATCATCTCATAGTACATTAAATGAATTGAAAAACCTCTTCTAAATTCTCTATTCGGGCGAAGCATAATATATTGCGGTACCAAGTATGAAGTACTTCGTATGATTTATGCGTGCATTTATGGATACTCATAATTATCAAAGCAGCTCAATAAATCCATCATCTTCATCCCCTAGTAATTAAAGCACTACTACTACGATTCTCCGAAGTATAGAGCTAGTCCTAAAAATTAAACCCCCCACCAGGCCATTCTCATTCACTCATTCACTTCCATATTACAAGTTTCAATTCTCATTCAGTCTTCAGTTTTCCAGCCTTCCAAATTTCGTCAATTAATTTGGCTTGATCGAATGGTAAGCTCCATCTCTAGCTATTTCTTTTTAATGTTTTCTACTCCAATTTTTCTCTTTATTTTGAGTTCTTTCCTGCACAAAATCGTAACATATATCTTTCGGCTCTGTAAGTATTTATACTTAGCTTGTAATACTGAGATTTTACAATTTTATGATTACACAAACTGTTTTATTTTGTAATGTTTCTTCTAGGATAAAATAATGTTAGGTTTCATACATATGTTTTTGTATGAAACAAACTGCTATTTTTATTATATCTTTTAGCTTTATACGAAGTAATATGACCCAAGTAATATACTCCCTCCGGTTCTTTTTAAACTTCAGTGTTTGACTTCACAGTTATTAAGAAAATAAAGTTGACTTTACTGTAGAATACACTGTTGAGACACTGTTTGGCACTGTTTGGCACTGTTGAGACACTGTTTGGCACTGTTTAGCACTGTTTAACACTGTTTTGATGTAGATTTCTTTGCCAAATAAGGAAATAAGGAAGTGTGAAGTTTATTTTGGACCGTCCCAAAAAGGAAAGTGTGAAGTTTATTTAGAACCGGAGGGAGTAATATTCATTCACACAAACACATGCACATCATTTGTGTGCAATTTAGTTCCACGTTGTGTCCAACGAAATTAGCCTGTTTATGATATGATCCGATTGAAATAATTAAGTGCCGGTTTGGTGTCACGTTTTTATTTTCTTTTTATCATTTTTACTTTATTTTTTATCATTTTTATTTAGTGATGTGGTTTACTTTTTTTATTGTTGCAGGAGATGTCAACAATAATGTTCTACTGGTTCCTTCTTTGTGCTGCTCTGATTGTTGACCCATCAAAGGCTGACAAAAATGTTACCAAGACTTTGATACCGAGCGCCGTTGCTGAAGGAGCCGGTAAAATACTTGATCATATATGAATGTGCATAAATTTTTAACAAGCTTAGCATTCTCATATGCTTAGTTAATTGAGTGTTATGTATAAGCACATACATATATTGAAATTAGTTATAGTCATGTTTTCACAATGTTAGAGTATTTTTATTTCATTATGGCGTCATGGGAGGGTAAGATCGAAACTCTATAATTGAAAGATTTATTGTGCTTATTATAGTGTGTTTGGACGGAAGCCCGCCCGCGTACCATTACGATGCAGGCAAAGGTTCCGGTGCACGTAACTGGCTGGTCATCTGGGAGTGAGTTTACTTTTTACTAGTATCATTTATCAAATGTTAATTAATGGAAATTATTAAAAATCACAATAGCTTGCTTCTTTTGTGAACTTTATTCTAAAATAATATCCTGAGTTTTTTTTTTTTTTTGCTTCGCATGGCATGTCTGTTTTAGAGGATTGAAAAGTTTAATTCATTGCAGAAATTTTATCGAGCATGCGGCGTGCTCTTTATTGAGCACGTAACGCATGTAGACGTACGGTGCTACGTATTTAGTTTAATTAGTAGCCCGTATCATATGTATAATCATATGTATAATTAAAGTATAGACGTGTAGTTCGTAATTTCAATCTTGAACAAATAATATGAATTTGATTTAAAATAATAATAATATGAATTTAGAATATATCTTTCTTCTTTTGAGAGTCTTAGACCACATCTTTTTAAGTACGGAGAATGTATCTTTGCATAAATCTTTTAATCATATTTTATTTTCGCAATTAAGTAATTAGTACGATTAATTCCTACTTTTATATTCCATGTCCATAAGATTTAGGATGTTTTTATTTGAACTGTTTTCAGTCCCAGACCAGAATGATGGACTTAGGATGTTATCTTTTGGACTGAAATTTGCTGGTCTAGTCTGGTCTGATCTGGTAAATGTCTGGTATCAGTGTATTTTATAACTATGGAAGTCAAGTCTGGTCTTGTCTGATCTGGTCTGGTCTGATCTAGTCTGGTCTGGGACTGAAAACAGTCCAAAAGTAAACATCCTTAAACAGACTAGATCAAACCTGACCAGATTTAAACAGATCAGACCAGATCAGACCAGGACAGATCAGACCAAAGTAGACCACCCGTAATTATAAAAGACACAGAGACCAGACATTACCAGACAAGACCAAACCAGTTCAGACTTAAACAGACCAGACCAGCAAATTACAGTCCAAGTAAAAACATTCTTAGTCATATTGATTTTTCTTGATCAATGATGATCAAGTTCGACTAAAAATATTTTTAATAGAAAATTATTTACAGTATGAAAATTATATGGAAATGTTCTTTGTTAAAAGTGATATAAATTTCTCACAAATATATGATAAATTTTCTAAAATGCCCTTGGCGTTAGTCAGCCAGCAACCCAGTGCCTAGCAGTTAGGAGGGCGCCTTGATGGGGACTAATCAGAGACATAGAATTGACCGTTTTATGAATAGTTAAAAAAAAAGTTAAGGTCATCATGCCCGACCATATGATCCATTATATAAATAGGGAGATGCTCTTTCCCATTATGAATTAGTATATACTTCGTATGTCTCTTACAAAATAAAAAATATATATAAAGTTCAACGACTCAAGACGCTCTGAGCGGGCCACTGGGCGCCCTAGACAGACGACTAATTCAAATGGGAGCCAAACTAATTATTTGGATGCTTAAACTAAAATTGTACATCCGATCACCGCTAAACGCCGCCTAGGCACCTAGTTGTCTGTCTAGGGCTCCTAGTGGCTTACTCAGAGCGTCTAATTGCCCGCCTAGAGCGTCTAGCTTGATTCATTAAACATTTTTTTTTCTCTAAGAAATATATGTACTAATGACCTTAACCATAGATATGAAGAAATCTAGTTACACATTAAGATAAAACTATATATTTTTAACTATTCTTAATTTTCTTTCAAAAAAATTATTCTGAACTTTTATAATTATTTACGCAAAAATATTGATAAAAAATATCATTTCTATGTTTCTGATTAATCCCCGCCTAGGTGTCCTCCTAACTGCTAGGCACTAGGTTGCTGCCCGACTAAAGCCAAGATAGAACGTTTATTATATATTTGTGAGTATATCACTTTAATACTTTATCACTTATAATTTTGTAAAAATATTTTTAACAAAGAACATTTCCATATAATTTTCAAACTTTAAATATATTTCGATTAAAAATATCATTAGTCGAACTTGATCATTGTTATTGGTCAAGAAAAGTCAATATAACTAAGTTTTATGGAAGAGAGTATAAACTAATAAAAGAAGGAATTAATGTATTAATTACTTATTTCAAAAACAAAATCTGAATAAAAGATTTATGTACAGATATATACTTAGAAAGATGTGGTATAAATTCATATTTGTTCAAGACTATACGTCTATACGTATTATTTTTATGATAGGGACTACTCCGTATATTTTAACTTAATATAGTTGTAGTATAATAATTAAATTTAATACGGAATTACAGAGCATGAAGTATTTTCTTAGCATTAGCGTACGTCTTCATATGGTACGTGCTCAATAAAGAGCACGCGGCATGCTCGGTAAAATTTCTGTAATTCATTGTGCCAAATTAAGAAATTTGTAGTACACCCATAAATGCACCACGCAGTATTTCCCCTAGTTAGTTAAATACGGTACGGGAATTAAACGTGGTTTAATACGTACGTGTTTTATTCGGTAACTTGAACAAAAAATACGGTCAAAAATTCGGCAAAAAATACGTTGACTTTTTAAAAACGTGTAAATACGTATACGTGTATAATACGGCATTTCTTAGAAAAATTCGGGTTAAAAATACGGGTCTTATTTTGAGTGCTTAAATTATTGTACTAATTTTTATAGCATAAAAAACATATAGTACACACACATTCAAATAGAATACCTCTTCACTCCATCAAAAAAAACATTCATAAATCATAATAGCATAAGTTCATGACAAAAAGAAATACTCCGTAGTAGTTAAGTCTAAAATAACATGAAATTATATAAACTTCATAAAATAACATATAATAAAAAGAAATAAGAGTGTACACATATCGAAGTAGTAAATCACATTACTGCATAAAAGAATAATTTGTAATTGTATAAGTCGATGACAAAAGTAAAAATAGCAATCAAGTCCAAGACATAATTTTGCAAAGTAATGTCAAAAAATAAGGCATATTAACGATAGAATGAGTCCAAGTTAACATCATCATCATCTTTATATGATCATCATATAACACTCAAGTTAAACTTGTCATTTTCACCTAGATGACGGATGACATATGAAAAAGTTGTGCGACTGATACGCTTATCATTATTGTTTATTTATGTGTAAAAGTTTACACTAAAAATGTCAGGTTTAGAAAAACCTTAATTTTGATATGCTTGTTTGGAAAAGAACATCACATATCTAATATGTAGTAGTATTTTAGGTTTTAGTCTTTTAAGATGATAGCTTTAGATATAATGCAATTAATTTTAATATTTAACAATTATATATTTTGTAATGTAACAATACAAAAACACGGGGTCATGGGGATGGTGTTTTCTTTTTTTGCTTTTAAGCTAATGTTGATCTCTTGTTCATTTGATGTATTCATTCAATTGACCAAATCATGTTTCGTTTTTTTTTATAAAATACGGAAAATATACGTTTTATACGGGAAGTAGAAGTTTTTTTCCTTTTTAAACGGACCGACATTATTTTTCGTTTTAAACGCGTTTTTTTGTTCAAAAAAACGGTACGTGTTTTAAACGCGTTTTAAACGGAAAAAAGCTAACTAGGGTATTTCCACACGCATAGTTATGATTATGATCATTAGTAGTAACTCAAGCTGTATCATTTAGTGATATGTCTGGCAGCGCCATCAGCTCCATTTTCACAATTCTGCATGTAGTAATTGTTCTTTTAATTTGTACTGTCATAATTTAATTACTAAAATTATAAGCACAATATATAAGAAGTTCATAAAAATGTTAACCTAGAGACCTACTGTCATTGCATTTAATCTAATTAAAAGCTTTTCCATTTAATTAAAGCTGACCATATTTTCAGGGTCCCCATTTTACTTTCTGGATGCAAAACTCATATAGAGTTTACGTATATACGAATTGAATTATTACTTTTTCTAACAATTTAAAGCGGAATGATCTCTGTTTCAAAAACTAAATATTCAATATATTTGTTATATCATTCAGTAATACAACCAGCTGTTACGTCAATACGTCATCATTATTTAAAGTTTACATAAGAAGCAGCCATAGGCAATAGATTTAAAACCAACGTTTTTTTAAACTAATGAGAGCTATCATGCATCCACTCTAGATCCCATAGATTTCTTGTTCCAATCAATGCGTTAATATGCTTTCAATTCTGTTGTTCAAAGCCTATGAAAGACTATACGAATGTATCATGAATAAGAGATGAGAAGAGGCGTTCAAAATTCAGATATCTATATTGATAATCATGAAGCTTTAAATAGCCATTTTACATTGATAAACAACCAAACACGTTTAACAAACTACTTCCTAGAATTAAGGAGAACCATAAGTAAATATCATGGATAAACAAAGACTAAATCAAATGCTGAAAATTAGCTAACCACTTCCTACGTATGACTTATTCAATAAACATATTTTTAAATGATAAATAAAGTAATATTCCACGTGTGCATGGCCTTAAACCCGTCTGTACTCTGTATGCAAGCTTGGTCACTTGTTCAACAAATTCCAGCAATGATATAATTTAACATTGTTTTGAGGCAATTTATATTAAAAAAAATATAATTCCACCGGACGCTTCATGCATTTCACATTCTAAATACTTTTTGACGAAAATTTCAAATGTGCATATAGTCATTATAGAGCCCGTATGAGTTTGTTAAAGGAGATAAAATTCACCGTAACCTTTCTGTGTATTATTGATGTCAATATATAGTAAATCATACAAGGAGATGATAAGCATGCGGTATGATAAACTCTATCCGCTGCTGATACCATCGGCTAACTATACAGAAGCCGTGTAGGCAATAAATACGGGAGCAAGTACTTTTCACAACCGTTTACAAGTGTGATGGATAAAGATGTACAATATTTAATTAATAAATAATACATATGTACGCATAAGTAATAATACGTAGGTAATGATAGATGCATGTCATGCATGTCATGCATGCCATGTTTAATACGCCCCCGCAGTCGAAGCGGGAGGCTTCCGAATGCTGAGACTGGTCCGAAATTCTTCAAACAAAAAACGGGGTAGACCTTTGGTGAAGATGTCAGCGTATTGATGTCGTGACGGAACATGGAGAACTCGGATTTGGCCGCGGGACACCTTTTCCCGAACAAAATGAATATCCATTTCAATATGCTTTGTTCGTTGGTGTTGAACAGGATTACCGGAGAGATAAATGGCGCTAATGTTGTCACAGTATACTACGGAAGCTTTGAGATGAGGATGGCGGAGTTCGAGTAAGAGATTACGTAACCAACATAGTTCGGCGACAGCATTGGCAACACCCCGATATTCGGCTTCGGCGCTTGAACGGGAGAGAGTAGGTTGACGCTTAGATGACCAGGAAAGTAGATTATCTCCCAAGAAAACACAATATCCGGAGGTGGAACGGCGAGTATCGGGGCAGCCACCCCAATCGGCATCGGTGTACGCGATGAGATCCGTGACTGGTGATTGACGTAGATGAAGACCAAGGTGTGGTGTCCCCTTGATGTACCGCAAGACCCGTTTGAGAGCATGAAAATGAGAGACCCGTGGATCGTGCATGAAAAGGCAAAGTTGTTGCACAGCATAGGATATGTCCGGTCGAGTAAATGTGAGATATTGTAGCGCCCCCGCAAGACTACGGTACAATGTGGGATTCTCGACAGGAGGGCCGGCCGAAGCACTCAATTTTGAGTGTGTATCGACCGGTGTAGCAGTGGTGTTACAAGACAGCATTCCCGCTCGTTGTAATATTTCCGATGCATATTTGGATTGAGACAAAAAGAGCCCATCTTTGTAGCGGGTGACGGAGATGCCCAGAAAGTAAGTAAGAGGGCCTAAGTCGGTCATGGCAAATTCATTGGCAAGAGAAGAAATAACCTGGTGGAGAAATGACTTTGAAGAGGCTGTAATGATAATATCATCTACGTACAAAAGTAGATATGCGGTTTGACCTCCTTGGTTGGTAATGAAAAGAGAATGATCGCACGTACTATGAGTAAAACCAATGGAGGTGATGTAGGAAGCAAACCGTTGGTACCATGCTCGGGGGGCTTGTTTGAGACCGTAAAGAGACTTGAGTAAACGGCAGACATGTGACGGGCGGGAGTGATCACGATATCCAGGAGGTTGATGCATAAACACTGTTTCCTCAAGGTGCCCGTGTAGAAAAGCGTTCTTAACGTCAAGTTGATGAAGGGGCCAATTGTGAGAGAGAGCCAAGGTGAGAACGGTACGGATAGTAGCAGGCTTAACCACGGGGCTGAAAGTTTCATCACAATCAATACCAACTTGTTGTGAGTTCCCATTAACCACCAAACGGGCTTTGTGACGTTCAAGAGACCCGTCAGACCTGTATTTATGTTTAAATAGCCACATGCAACGAATAATATTAGCTTGAGGAGGACGGGGAACCAACTCCCACGTCTTATTCTTAATTAAAGCACTAAATTCATCATCCATGGCGGATTTCCAATTCGGGTCTTGGAGGGCTTGGATGGGGGATTTTGGAAGTGGTGAAGGAGTTATAGTATGACTTAGATTGTATGGTAGTTTGGGTTTGAAAACGCCGGCCTGACTACGAGTAGTCATATTATGGGTACGTGCATGGGCATGCGGAATATGAGTAAGAGGGGGAGAGGCGGTTTGGGATGTGTCGTTGGCATGTGGTACGCGGGGAGGGGAGTTGGCAGTAGGCTGGGACTGTGGGCTAGGAGGGGTTGACACGTGAGGAGTGGGGATGGGTGAATTATTGGGCTGGGAGTTATGTAGTATGGCAGGAGGTGGGGCCGAAGGCTTTGGTATTATGGGGTAAAGACGGAAGTACGTATGAGAAGGATCCAGGGATGGTGTAGATAATGTAGAGGCATTGGCTTTAAAGGGGAAAATGTGTTCGTCAAAGGTGACGTGCCTCGAAATGATGAATTTGTCATTGGATAAATCAAGGCAAATATATCCCTTATGATTAGAAGGAAATCCCATAAAAATACAAGGAGTACTACGGGCCTGGAGTTTGTGTATAGTAGGAGTTGGTAAATGGGGATAACATAGGCAACCGAAGACACGAAGGTGAGTGTAAGTGGGTTGTTTGTGGTAAAGTAAATCGGTGGGTGTGAGGAAAGAGAGGGAGGCACATGGAAGAATATTGTGTAAATATGTGGCCATATTGACGGCATGAGGCCAGTATTTGGGCGGGACCGAAGCATGCAAAAGTAAAGTTCGTGCAATGTTATTAATTGTGCGAATTGAGCGTTCGGCCTTGCCATTTTGAGGGGAAGTGTAAGGGCATGAGAACCGAAAATGAATGCCATGAGTTTCACCAAATTGACGAAAAGAAATATTATCAAACTCTTTGCCGTTATCGCATTGAAGTATTTTAATGTTACATTCAAATTGAGTACGAATTAGAGCATGAAAACGGGAGAAAATAGAGAAAGTTTGAGATTTATGCTGCAAAGGAAATGTCCAGATAAATTTGGTGAAATCATCAATAAAAATAACATAGTATTTTTGACCAAATGTACTTTGTATAGGAGAAGTCCAAATGTCACTATGAATTATTTCAAATGGCTTAGAAGTAAATGATACAGACGAGGAAAAAGGCAATTTAACGTGTTTGCCTAGTTGACAAGAATTACATAAATGAGAAATAAATTTGCGACATGGTAACAATTTATTAGCACTAAGAAATTTAGAAACTGGAGCCCCGGGGTGTCCGAGCCGGTTATGCCAGACTGCGGCCGGGACTGTAACAAATGCGGAATGTTGCAGTGAGTGCGGAGAAATGGAATGGAGCGGGTAAAGGTCGCCGGAGCTATTAGACCTCATGACTGGAATGCCCGTCTGCAAATCCTTCACAGAAAAACCAAACGGGTCAAACTCAACAGAGACAGAATTATCAGTCGTAAAACGGCGAACATAAATTAAATTCTTTATGAGGGACGGGGCATAGAGGACATTGCTAATTTTAAGAGGGGGGTTGGGAGGTGAGAGAGTAGTGTGGCCGAGACCAGAGATTGGAATTGTATGTCCATTGCCAACCTGGATTTTGCATTGAGTGCTTAAATTAGAAAAAGACATAAGAGAACCTGGTTGTGCCGCCATGTTGGACGAGGCCCCAGTGTCCATATACCATTGGCCGCCGGGAGGAGATAGAGTCATGGTCTGCATGTCTGCGGTCAAGGCAGTAGGGCTAGCATCGGCCAAGTGTGCTTGTTGCGGTCGCGGTCCCAGAAGTCCGGCACCCGGAGACGGACGTGGACCGGGCTGGGCGTGCCAAGGCAGACCTGGGTACGGGCAAGGTGGAGAGGGCCAAGCTTGCGGGTGCAACCAGTAAGCCCAGGGAGGAGGCTGAGGCCACTGGCCGGGCGCAGGAGCGGGGTCCGCACGGCCGGGCTGTCGTCCACGACCGCCGCGCTGAGAAGAAGACCGCCCACGACTGCCGCCACGGGATGAGCCTCCACGACCGCCACGCTGAGAAGAAGATGGGCCGGGCGGTGTGATATCACCGGTGGAGTGAATTAACGCGGTGGCAGGGGATCCGGAGGACTGATTCCGACGTGATTCTTCAAGGACAACCATGGACCTGGCTCTAGAGAAAACGGGAAGAGGTTCCCGTTGTTGAATGAGAGAGGCCACCATGTTGTAATCCGGAACGGAAGAGAGGCCATTGACCATACGCAAAACAAGCCGATCATTGCCGACCGTAACTCCCACATTTTTAAGTTTGGTAGAGAGGTCTTTGAGACCCCGGCAATATGCAGAGACGTTAGGGAACTGATCTAGCCGGGTATTTGAGAACTCATTCTCCAAATATAGAGCCCGGGCATGCTTGTTGTCATGAAAAAGATCGGCAAGACTTTCCCATGCATCATGAGCCGTGGAATCAACCTCAATAATGGTATGAAGGAGGTCGTGAGAGATAGTGCCGTAAATCCATTGAAGGACAACGGCATCGAGACGAGACCATAAGGCAGACGCCTCGGCTTTGGCGGCATCAAGTATAGCGCGTTGTGCATCGGTGAGAGATGAATCCGTTGCGGCGGAAGAGGAATCCGTTGTGGTGGTAGAGGGAATTATATGATCAAGGACTTCATATGCCCGGGCGGTAATTTTGAATAATTCCGCCCAAGAAGCATAATCGCCATTATCAAGATCAAGAGTTAAAGGAATGAAATTCTTGATGTTTGATATAGCTAAAGCCGGGTGAAAAGAGTTTTTGGAAGAAGACATTGAAGGAGAGAGCGAGAGGAATATGAACTGGCAACTGATACCAAGTTAAAGGAGATAAAATTCACCGTAACCTTTCTGTGTATTATTGATGTCAATATATAGTAAATCATACAAGGAGATGATAAGCATGCGGTATGATAAACTCTATCCGCTGCTGATACCATCGGCTAACTATACAGAAGCCGTGTAGGCAATAAATACGGGAGCAAGTACTTTTCACAACCGTTTACAAGTGTGATGGATAAAGATGTACAATATTTAATTAATAAATAATACATATGTACGCATAAGTAATAATACGTAGGTAATGATAGATGCATGTCATGCATGTCATGCATGCCATGTTTAATACTTTTCCTTGGCAGTATAAGTTGATTCTTCCATAATTTATATATACATTAATACACATTTTGTTTCATTTATAGTCAACGCCACCTATAATACTTAAATTCAGTTAAAGCTTATATATATAATATATATCACATTGTGATTTAATTAGGGAGGAGGGTGGTGTTTAAACAGCACCATATACCAAAATATGACGAATGCCATCGCCGAAAACTGCACTAAGCGTGCCACAACCAAATTGGGATCTTCTTTCCTCATGCCTGATTTCCTGTTTGAAGGGATATTCTCTGATGAAAAAAATCAGTCGTATTTTTACAATTGGAACCGTGTCGTCGTGGGATACTGTGATGGCGGTTCATTCTCAGGAGATGTGGATCAACCCGATCCAGTATGTATTCTATTTACTTTGTTTCTTTCAATTATCTACATACAATAATATTTTCATCAATTTAATTAATTCACTTTTAATTTCCGATTAGGCAACAAAGCTTTTCTACAGAGGCGCTCGGATTTACAGAGCTGTCATGAATGAGTTAATGGCCAAAGGCATGAAAGATGCCGAAAATGTAATATTTGATTACTACTATATGCCATAAGTGAATTAATTAATCAAATACCTATTTTTAATTTTATTTTACCTGCATCTTAATTGTTTTGCAACAGGTGATCCTGGCCGGAGGTTCCGCCGGTGGAATAGGTGCCATGATCCATTGCGATCATTTTAGAAGCCTATTTCACCCGGCTGTGAACGTAAAGTGTTATATTGATAGCTCTTTGTTCTTAAAACTGTAAGCGTAGACATACAATTTGTTTGTACTTATAATTCAGAAATTATATTTATTTATTAATTTATTTATGTTTCAAATTTTGCTATTGGTAGGAAGGATCCCAAGCGTGCCATGTTTTTCAAGACTATATTTGGCACGGTTGTTGAACTACAGGTAATTAATTAAATAGAAATAATTGTTAATTATTGATCAAATAAGACTTATTTAAGGAGTAGGATTTTTAGAAAATAATTTAGTTAAAGGAGTTTTGACAAAATTAATACTAAACAATAACCTATGGGCAAAAAAGTGTCTTTTTTTCGATTTTCCAAAATAGTGATTAATATCACAAATATACGCCTCCGGTTGGTGTGACCAGCTTGAAGTGACGATTGAAAATCCTAGTGACATTCAGTTTTGTATTGACACCTAGATAATAGCAATATATATGTACCGCCGGCCAACAGTTGCACCTTAGTTTTTTGTTCAAACGAGATTTAGTCTCATTTTTGTCATTCTTAAAGTAAAATTATATTTTTGTCATTTTTTCTTGATTAAAATTTTCCAAAATAAGAGTAAATATGTCTTTTTTGCGAATAAAATCACGATTGTCATACTTATGAATTTCTTCATTGTTTTAGTCTTACTTAGAAAAGATAATCGATATAGCAATATTGTTATAAAGAAATTGAATTAAGCTAAATAGGAACAAAAACGTCAGAGAATTTCAAAATAGGAAATCAATATTTTTAATTTCTGAATAAGGGTAACGTATTTCTATTTAAGAAAAAATCATGACACTCTTATTTTAAAATTTTCTCATTGTGATATCATACGAGAGTAGTTAAATTAAATTCTGGAATATTGCATGGGTTGCAGCAAAGCGCCAAGGCATTGCCGGCAGAATGCACATCGGAACGAAGGCCATCAGCGGTACATCATATTACTTAAAGACATTGTGTTGTACATGAGTACAAAATGTTTGAGAATATCGAAATATACTATGAAACTATTTTTTAAATAGGAATAATTATTTGTAAGAATGAAAAGTACAAACAATTGTCAATCTACTGTCACCCATGGCCAAAATATGGCAATAAATTTTCTTGATGATAGTAATAAGTAATAACCCGTGTTTAAAGAAAAACATCTATTAACCTAACAGGAATAGAATTACTCAGAAATGCAATAGAACTAGTAAAACTATACTCTTTTTATTCTCAAAAACAGATGTAGTACTAATATATGTCCCTCCGTCCCGGCCATCTTCATATTCTATACCTTCCACCCAGAGCCGAACCTACCCTTGAGGCAAAGAGGCAATTGCCTCAGACCTCACAATTTTAGAAAAAAAATAGGGCCCAAAAATATATTATCTTCTTATATATATATATATATACCCATAGCTAGTATGCCCAATTTGAATTAGCAACTTTCCAAATTCCAACTTCAAACTTTGATGAGTTCTCTAGTCTAGAAGAGTGGAAAACGCTAATTCATTCCTTTCCAAAATATAATCCTGTTATTCTAGGTAAGTTATTAAGTACTTCCTCCGTTCATTTTTAATTGCAACAGTCAACATTTCACGTTTGCCAATGCACAAGTTTGACCATTAATATCTTTTATTTCTTATTAGTAAAAAATTAAAAAATTCATATTTTGAAAATTTAGAATGAGAAGAATGTAACAATATTTTTAAAATTTTTAATTTATTATACATCAATTAATAAAATGTAGTCAAAGTAGAACATGTGAATAGTACAAAAAGTCCAATGTTGCAACTAAAAGAGAACGGAGGTAGTATAAATATTTTTAATGTTTATTTTTTTTATGGTGCTTAAGGGCCTTATTATACTATTCGACTCAGACCAAAAAATTCCTAGGATCGGCCCTGCTTCCACCTTCCCAAAATCTCCATTGAAACTTATTTTTATTAATAAAAAAATGATAGTTTATTTATAATAAAAACATAAAACTAAGAAAAATATTTTTTTTAAATTAATAATAAAAACATTAAAATATAAAGTAAAATAAAAATTAAAGATAAGTAAATAACTTGAAAATATTGTAAATTTTTTTAAAAAATATGTAGGCCTGCCGCTACATCTTTTTGCATCTCCCGGCATCGCCAACTCTGAATCTCCCAATGTTGAAAAAAATGGTGCCATCTTTTGTAAAAATACACATTTATCAAACTTTTCTTTCTGAATTGCTACCATAATGACATGTTTTGCAAATTGGCAATTATTTCGTGGATAAGTGGTGGTGCTGCTGGAAGGTGGTTGAGGTGGTGATGGTGCTGGAAGGTGGCCGAGGTGGTTGAGGTCGTGGTGCTTTTTAATTTTTATTTATTCTTTTATGGTTATTATTATTAGTTAAAAAACCCTATTAAACATGATATTGGAAAGGGTAAGATAGGACGAGGTACTTCAATTCTATTTTGAGAATTTATACTTTATGCTCCTATACTTGCAATTTTGCTTCCATTTACTCTCTAGGAAACTGCCCCATAAAAATACAATACTCTTATATCTTTGAATTTCTCACACGCTTTTATTCTTATTTCTGGATCTTTTCCTATTATTTATTTATAGATTGTGTTCAACTAAATCCTTTAGTTATATAATTAAGTATACTTGTATATAAATAATGCAATAATAGTGACGCGGTGTGTGCAGTGCTTCTTTCCAAAAACATTGGTGAAGTACATAAAAACACCCATATACCTTCTGAATTCGGCATTTGATTCATATCAGGTCAGCTCCTTGCACCTTATAGCTACATAATGTACTTAGTTTATTATGATAATGGATTTATCATTGCTCTGTTTTATTGTGAAGCTAACTTTCGATCGGGTTTTTCCTCTGTATTATTTAACTATGTTGTTATACTTTTGTTTTTTTGAAAGATACGAAACATGTTTTCTGAGGGCTTACACGATCAGATAATGAATCATACCGTTACTCCAAGTGATATGGAATTGTTAAAAGGTATGTTTTTACTTTCAATTATTTTATTTATATGATCTATAAAATTTACCAATTTTTTTTACTTTATTACATCATTTAAGTATATTCTATCTCTTTTATAGCACAGTAATTATTCAATTCAAACCCGTGCCTATTAAGGATTCATACTCCCTCCGGTTCTTTTTAAACTTCAGTGTTTGACTTCACAGTTATTAAGAAAATAAAGTTGACTTTACTGTAGAATACACTGTTGAGACACTGTTTTGCACTGTTTTGCACTGTTTGGCACTGTTGAGACACTGTTTGGCACTGTTTAGCACTGTTTAACACTGTTTTAATGTAGATTTCTTTGCCAAATAAGGAAATAAGGAAGTGTGAAGTTTATTTTGGACCGTCCCAAAAAGGAAAGTGTGAAGTTTATTTAGAATCGGAGGGATTATTATTTTTTATCCATATCATAACCCTTATGTTTAAGTGAATAATACTACGTATTATATATATATATATATATATATATATATATATATATATATATATATATATATATATATATATATATATATATATATATATATATATATATATATATATATACGTTTTGGTTCAAATAAGAACACGATCTTATGAGAAAAATGAGAACGAATCTGGATCGTTAGATTTGCTTCAAGTGAAATTCAATGTGCATTAGATGAAACTGTAATGTGCATTAGGTGAAATTGAAATGTGCATCACAAAGGGTATGATAGAGTGACATTATGTGCAGTTGAATTGTGCATTACGTGAAATTGAAATGTGCACTAGGTGAAGCTGAAATGTGCAGAATAAAAAGTACGATGTGATGTTATTTTTGTACTTTTTTTCGCACATATCAGTTTCATCTAATGCACACTCGAGTTTAAATTTTTATTTTGCACATTTCAATATCATTTAATGCACATTTCAGTTTCACCAAATGCACAATTTGGTTCCACATAATACAATCCAACGGTCCAGATTCGTTCTCATTTTTCTCCTAAGATTTGTTCTTACCGGAACCGCTTCCTATATATATATATATATATATATATATATATATATATAATGAGTCCAAAGTTTTTTAAGGGAGTGTTTGCAACTGCTTCTGCTTAAAAAAAAGCACTTTTGGAGATGTAAGGAAAGAGTGATTAGTAGTAAAAGTCGATAGTGTTTGAGAAAAAAGTGATTTTGAAAAGTAAAAGTTGGTAGTGTTTGGTAAAATAAGTGTTTTTTGTGTAATAGAAAAGGGAAAAACACTTTTCACACGCAAGCCGAGAAAAAGTAAAAATTGGTAATGTTTGATAAATAAGTGTTTTTTTAAGACAAAAGCTGAGAAGTGCTTTTTTTTAGTTGTTGCAAACACTCCTTAAGTCCAATCATACATAATTGAACAAGGTTTGCATTTACTTTCTATAATCTTACTTTAAGCTAACTTACAAAATATGGATATTCTACATTTCTACGGATGCAGTTTAAGCACCGCATTCTTTTTTTAATATTCATCGGAAAGTTTCCAAATAGGAGCAACAAAAATGTGAAATTACAAAATATAGAAGTGTGTTTTGTTTTTAAATAAGTGTACTTTAATTTATTTTTATCCTGAAACTATATTGTCATATTTGTGCATTATCTAACATTAATATGACAGCATTAGTGTCATAATAACAATCAAAATCAAGAAATTCTTACATATTAAAAACTAAAATAGAGATTGTTTACAAAAATATGACTAGAGACTAGAGTAGTTATGAAATCGTAGTAGTTTATTTTAGTTTTAAGCTTAAGTTATCATGACACTAGATTGTAGTAACTATTAGTCATATTTGTGTAAATATATTTAATCTTAGTAATATTTTTTAAAGAACCGCATTTATTTTAACACATAATCATATTATAAATATTTTTAAAAATATACAAAGTATACAATTTCTCTAACATGCTTGACCAAGAAACTGAGAAAGTCACAAATAACTAAGTTGAAAGAAATAGATTAATAAACACATATAAAGAGAGCGGTTAAGGTGGAGCACATCTCGCCGAGAAACGAGAACAATCCTAAACGGTGCATTGAAGTTGAATTTATTTATTTTCTTAAAAAAATGAAACAGCATTTTTTGATTTGGGAGTGCACAATCCGGCTTTATATAATGTACAATTCTAAATTTATTTTCATTTAATCTAAACTAGGTTTCAAGCCCGTGCGATGCACGGGCAATACATAATTTAGTTAATTTTAAATTTGATTTTTTCGACATCATATATAATGTGATGCAAAAGCAAAATAAACTCAGCCTAAATATAGAGTTCGTTTGATAATAGAAAAATTAGCGAAATAAGCTTATTTTTACTGAAATTGATTAAATTCGGGTTGAATGGGCTGAATAGGCAGAAGAATCTCTCGAATCATGAAACAAATTAAAAAATCTTTCATTTGTAAAATAAAGAAACAGTTATATGGAAAATATTCAAAATGTTCTTTTACATATGCATCTCTACTAAACATAATTGTGGTGAACCCAATTTTAAAGAACTCACAGAGAAGTTTCTTAATTAATCTCATGTCTTCTAATTTATTTTATTGTGCACCACAATTTTATTCATATTCCTCATTGAACTTGGTATGAACTATGGAGTACATACTTTTATTTTTTAATAGTAAGATCTACCATTTGACTCATTATTTCGTCACATTGAAAATGTAAAAAATGGAGTTTTTTTTTTACATTTTACTCATTATTATTTCATCACATTGAAAATGATTTTTAATTGTTATGAACGTCTAGATGACTTTAGTGAGCATTTCAAAATAATATTTTTCTAATATTTCTCATTCAACTTGGTATGAAATACGTATTTTTAAATTTTAATAGTGAGTTAGGTTCTTACATTTTACTCATTATTTCGTCACATTGATAACGTCGTTAATAAGGACGTTTATAATTGAATTAAAACTTTTGGGTTTGATTTGGTCTGAAGTAATATGATTTGGTAGATGTGTGCTTCACATTATTATGTGTCCTATTATTATTAAATTTTGACCTGATCTCATGTAGTCTAAAACTGAAATCAATCTAATTAAAAACATCCTAAGAGTATAAATAAAATTAAGAATTTGTAGACATACAAAGATTTCCTAATTTGGCTTTTATTTCAAAAGTGATTGCATATTAAAATTGTACTCTAAAAATAAAGAAATGAAACAATCCAACATATTTACTTTTGTCTAGGCTAAAGGTATTAACTTGTGAACACACACACATATGCATGTATGATATCAACTTTCATCCTTATTAAATACTAAAGAAGATAAGCTACTTGATTAGAAGTATTCTCTTCATATGATTCTATATTTGAATGTCTAATAGTATTAATTTCCCTTTTAATTTAAAAAATTTGGTCGTTATAATTTTTATCACTCTATTAATAATTAAGAAAGAATTATATGAAGATGTAGAAAAATACGAAGTATTAACACAATTTCATATCTGTAGCTTAAACTTTTAATCATGATCTCAACATTGAGTTTAGAAGAATAAAATATAACATTTTAGGAAATAGGACACTATTAATACTTTTTTTACATATAATAATTTTGAAGGCAAAATAAATAACAATTTGACTGATTTATCTATTTTTAAGGAACTGATTTATCTGTTAAGTGGGCGAAACAAAGACACTTTATTTCTTCAATAAAATGTAATAAAAAACAAGAAGTATAAAAAAAATTATGTGTGCTTATGTTAAATGTCCCACACCGGAAAATTGAGAAGCACTAGAGTGATATATTAAGCTTCGGGCTACTCCTCCTAACAGGTTGACCTTTTAGGATGGAATCTCGTGTCTTAACATGGTATCAGAGCCAAATCGATCCATGGTGTGGGGCCCCTTATGAAAAATGACGACACGATAAAAAAAACATTGACGAACCAATGAAAAATGAATGACGACACGATCCAGACGAAGTGTCTGGTCGTGAGGAGGGGTGTTAAATGTCCCACACCGGAAAATTGAGAAGCACTAGAGTGCTATATTAAGCTTCAGGCTACTCCTCCTACCAGGTTGACCTTTTAGGATGGAACCTCGTGTCTTAACAGCTTATAAAACATACTTCGTATAAAATGAACTTCATAATTATTAAATACAGTTTATGTGTATGGTTGGTTATTAATTATTGTGATTCCAATTAATGAACTTCATAATTATTAAATCCGTAATAGGTTATGAAAGAGTTTCCAAATAAGGTGGATTTTTATCATAAAGTCTTTTGTTTCCATATCAATATGCGATCAAAAATAGAATCTAGTAAAATAAATAAAAGATATAGATTATTAAAAACTTAAATGATGGATGACATAACATAATAATGTGGCTCTTTGTATTCTCTTTAAAATTTCCTCTTATATATATATATATATATATATATATATATATATATAGAGAGAGAGAGAGAGAGAGAGAACTTCATGTCCAGCCGGCCTGACGGGAACTGCCGTCCGGCCGAGGGCATTTCGGACACTTCCCTGCCGAATTTTTTGAAGCAAGTTTTTGAGCATGTTCTTCATCAAGTCTAGTTTACCTATACCAAATTTCAGCTCAAAATTCGATCGGGAAGGCATTCAAATCATTTTTTGAAGTTGACTGCGTTTTTATATGTATATTTTGACGCAGTAAACTTCAAAAAATTGTTTGAATGCCTTCCCATCGAATTTTGAGCTCAAATTTGTTATGGATAAACTAGACTTGATGAGAGACATGCTAAAAAATTTCATCAAAAAATTCGATCGGGAAGTGCCCGAAATGCCCTCGGCCGGACGGCGGTTCCCATCAGGCCGACTGGACAAGAATGGGACTATATATATATCAGAACGGGAATCTAAACACACAGATGTGTGTGTTTATGTGTGTCTCAGTATGTATATATGGTGATATAGTTATTATTCTTCTTAGGATATATACGATCCCAGTATTAATTAATAAATATACATGAAAACGCAAATTTAAGCACATGTTGTTTATTAACGAGATTTATTATTATGTGTTTATAGATTTCAGGCAACAGATAATAAAGGCGTTGCCTACCCCATCGCCCACTAATGGGTACTTGGTAACTTCACAGTTTGGCCATTCCTTCGGTCTGAAAGGGTTGAAGAAACCCATGTTTCCCCAAAACAAAACGTCAAAGGTATTCCTCCCTTTTTTTTACGTAGTATTTGTCATTATACATGATCCACATTTTAAATTTTCTTTCTTGCTTGCCTATCGATGTTTCCAATATTATCTCTTTTAATCCTTTTTATTTCAGTTTTTCTTCTATATAGTACCTTAATTCCACCAATTATTTCATTATTTTACAGTATTCACTGATCCTATAGTTTCACCGTTCAGTTTAAAAAATAGCGTATAGTACAATTATAAAAATGGATTCGAAGTGTAATAATGTTACATTGTCCCACAATACTTAGACATGGAGGAATGACACAATTACTAAGAAAATAAAACTATAAGGTTAATGTTGAATTTGTAAAGATATAGAACCAATTAACAAATATGATCAAATTTAATTGATTTGCATGCGAAAAAATTAGTGGTACGACAGAAAAAAGAAAAACGGAGATAAATAACTGAAATATGCATGAGCAAACGACCATAGTACGGAGTAGGTAAATAGATTCGAATTTAAATTTATATGTTAGCCTGTTAGGACAGCAAGCAGTAATAGTCGTAACATAATAAGAATGAGAAGAACAATAAGGACAATAATAATATATAGTGGTCATACCAATATCAATATTAAAATAAAAGGTAAAATTAAAAGTATATTTGATGTAAATTTAATTCTAACTGTATCTTTTTACCGTACCTACCAGACAATGGAGAAGGTGATGGTCGAGTGGTTCTTTGGTGAAAAAAGTATCCACATTATTGATCCAAACGATGAGCCATTCTGGAATGCTACATTATCTCATTGAATGATTCTATGGATTGTTTCAATTCTCATCTCTATTAAGATTACTTGATCAATGTTACATTAATTACCTCTGTAGCTACTTTTCTTTTTAATTATAGCTTTTTAAATTTCTCATCAATGTTACGTACGAGTTACCTCTTAGTAGCTACTTTAGTTTATTCATATATTTTGTTTTATATTCCGTATTTATTAGAATTTCTGAATTTGTGTTGGATTATTACGAGAAGAATCTATAGGTTTGTGCAATAACGAATTCCATAGTCAAAAGTAATAATTTTATCCCCTATTAATATAATTGTGAAACAAAATCACACCTCCCATCTGCCCTGTCGGGTCGGGGCTTGGAGGGCTTCGGCTAGGATGGGAGATTTCATCTTTTTTGGATCAAGTGAAACAAAATGACACGGTAGGTATTGTTCAAGCTAATTATCATGATCTATTATACCATGCGACGAACGAAATATTCTTAGTAGCCCATAACAATTCATGTATGTCATCATAACAAAACACCCTTAATTAAAGGGGGTGTTTTCCCAAAACACGGGAAAAGTCAGCATGTGCTGCAAAAACACGGGGAAAATTGTAGGGTTTCTAACAAAACGAAATTTGGAAAATGATGTTCCAGATAGATTTAGGGTTACTAGATAGATTTAGGAGGCATTCGGAAAGCAAAATTCCAAATTTATTAATTTCTTTTATGTATTTTTTAAGTATTCGGAACATGGTGTTCCAAATAGAGATTTTTTAATTTTTTGATGCACCATTCGGATGATGCAGTTCCAAATCTAACCGTATATTGAGGGTATGATGGGAAGATTTAGAATTGGGAAGATTTTTTTGTTACGGACGAAAAAGGAAAGTGGGAAGATTTTTAAGATACGGAGGGAGTAAAATATAAAAACTTTTGGACATGGGAATAGAACCCAAGTCCTGCCCGTCAAAGCCAAATTCCTAGCCATAGATAACCTGCTAGACTACACCAATCAAATGATCTGCTATCGCTATTTAATATAAGGTTAAAGGGTCAAATAGGCCCTTGAACTGACTTAAAGTGTTCAATTAGCCCCTTATATAGGAGGTTCTGCCCGGCCGTCGCTTATTGGGGCGATTCCCAGTGGAAATTTTTGATGAAATTTTTTGAGCATCTTCTTCATTAAGTCTAGTTTAGTCATACCAAACTTCAGCTAAAAATTCAACCAGGAGGGCAGTAATCAAATGATTTTCCGAAATGTACTGCGCTGTTTAACTTCGCAGTTATCTTCATAATATCATTTGACTACCTTCTTTGTTGAATTTTTAGCTGAAGTTTGGTATGAGTAAACTAGACTTAATGAAAAAGATGCTCAAAAAATTTCATCAAAAAATTTCACCGGGAACCGCCCCAATTAGCAACGGCCGGGCAGAACCTCCTATATGAGGGGCTAATTGAACACCTTAATTCAGTTCAAGGTCCTATTTGGCCCTTTTAGCCAATTAAACCTTAGAGCATACACGGTATATTCTTAAGTCCCTTAAGTCCCATATACGAAGTATAACGCATTACCTTTTAATATTAGTATTATTACTCGCTCCTTTAGAAGTATTTTACTTCTTTTCCAAACGATTAAAAAAAACTTAATTACAGATAATCAATTAAAAAATAAACACATAATTAAAATCTATATTTAAAAAACTTAAATTGTGATATTTAATTAATTAATAAAAAATTAATATAAACTTATAATAAAAAAACATAATTTGCAATATATAATTAAACAATTAAGAATATACATCATTTTAAGAATATAAATAGTGCTCTCCCGGACTTAACAATCTGCAGTGTTTTATTTTTAATTAAACATCGCAAATTAAGTTTTTTATTACTCCCTCCGTCCCCGAAAGAAGTTTTTCATTTGACTTTCACACACTTTTATGGAAGTAAACGTATCAGGGGTAACTTTTACTGTTTTGACACTGTTTCGACACTATTTGGCACTGTTTGACACTGTTTTTGTGTGTTCTAAAAAAAACAATTGATGGTCCCGGATAGAGGTAAAAGTCTAGAGGGGCGTGAATAGACTTTTAAAGCTTTTTGAACTTTACAAACTTTTCCCTACTAGAAGAGTGATATTATAACCTTTTGGGAGATTATAGATGTATAGCGGAAGTCTTAACCTCTATATAAACTATGCATGACAACTTTCTATTAATAGCAAGTGAACAAAGGACTTTGAAGAGCAATCAGATAAGTCTTATTATATCTAAATAAGTCAAGTGAAGTCTTTGAATGAGAGTTAAACTTATCTAGAAGGGTATTTTTCTTGGCAGTTGTGTAAGCAGTAGTCTGGGCAGTAGAGTGGTCACCAGAGTACTGTTGAGGCTACTGTGGAGTAAAGAAATGATTTTCTAGATTCTGATTGAACTGGGATGTTTTGAAAGACTTTATAAGGCTTTAGTGAATGCTTTAGTGATATGGAGATGTCTTTAAGAAAGTGTGTAAAAACGGGCAGTGAACTGAGCAGTAAAGTGAGCAGTGGGGTGAGTACGTAGACTACTAGCGAGGTAACTGCTAAGGCAACTGCTAGGCTTAAGAAGAGTTTGTGAGTGCTTTGTTGACTGAATGTAAATCAACACACGATGTATCTTGGTTCAGAGGTGGTGTAATCCTCCTACGTCCAGTCCCACCCTCTTTCAGATGGATTTCAACTAAAGTATTAAACTCAATACACTTAGTGCCTAATCTAGCCTTTTACACACAACAAGCCTAGATTGAAGGTTTTTCAAAAGGATCGAGTACACACAACTCCAGGCTACTCAATCCTTTGGATTTTCTCAATTGATCCAGTGGGGATCAAAAGGTACTCTATTCTATCCATCCACACTTAGGACTAGATAACACTGTCCTTCTAAGTGTTTACAACAATTTATGATATAACAAAAATTCTAGCCTCCAACTATGAACTAAACTTCCAGAATATAGCAATGAAAAGTTCTAACTTGGAAGTTTAGTGAAGCATGAGTCTACGCAGAGAGCAAAGTTGAAAAAGCACTTTCTCTTTTGCTAGATATCTCTTTGATGCTTAATATGATTTACTCTACTTAGAAGGCCTAAAAACACTACTAGAAAAAATGACATTTGCTGCGGTCGTTTTGACTCATTTGCTGCGGTTCTTAACCGCAGCAATAACGAGAGCAGCAAATTCCGAAAATTGGTATTTGCGGCGGTCGTACCCGCAGCAAATAAGGGACTGGTTTTTTTAAGAAAATAACTTTTTGTTGCGGTTCCTCAACAACCGCAGCAAATAGAGAAGCGAATTTAATGTTTTTGCGGCGGTCCTGTACAACCGCAGCAATAAGTATATATAAAAGAAAAATGTGCACCCTATTTACACATTATTTGCTTTTAATGGCCATTTGCAATCAATCCAAATAAAAAAATATCAAATATCAATCCAAATATCACAAGACAAAAAAAGTTACCTAAAAGTTACATAGTTAATACATTTTCAATCTAATATAGAGTTTACAACAAATTGTCGCAAACATATATCGCCCATCTATCACGAATTTCATCAATTTCTGCCATTGAAAACGCCTCATCTCGTAAGGTGCTCGTGTACACCTAAATATAAAGCATTTCTAATTAGTACAACTAAAACATTTCTCATGAATACATATATACACACACACATGAACACATACCTGCTCCAGATCTTGACCTTCATTGATACTTCTACTCAGATTATACATGAATCTCATCATATAATATCCACACTCTAAGTCGCCCGTTTGTTTTGCGCATGATCGGGCTAAACTTGCAAGTGTCCAAGTGCCGATATAGTAATAAATTCCGGTAAAATACCGGGTCGAATCCACAGGGAAACGTTGTTTAATTTAGTCCGAGAGTAGATGACTTTAAATAAATAAATGAGTAAAGTGCAGGGATTTTGAGTTGTGTGTTATTGTGAAAACAACAACTTGGTTCTTCTTTTTAATTTTCAGAGATATAACTTAAATTTATTTGATTAAAGTGATTGATAACAACAACTAAGGCTTCGGGAGTCACTTAAATGCTTTAATAGGGTTGAATATTAGTTCTTTACCAATAATTATGAATATGATGTCGCTAATATATTCTCAACTCCGGTTAAGGCAGCGAGAGCGTGGTTTTCGTTACGTGTAAGTCCCGTTACGGCTTACATTCATCTACCGAAAACCCCGTTGAATATCAAGACATCACACCCGTATCATATAATACCGGATATATTTCTATTCTCGGTAATATATATGTTTATCCTTTAATGTTCATAGTTTAGACCTCAACGTTAATTGCAAGCATAAACTAAGTTTAACATACTTCTATGTTGTACACCATAGTCATAAACAATCAAAATTTAAAGGATAAATCACAATTTATTGGTTTAGAACTTTTATCAAACACCTAGTGGCATAGAAGTTCATCCCTAGCCTTAGCTAAGAAATTAGCCTCTAATGCTCATATTAATCACAATACAATATTGAAATGTAATGGAACATGAAATTAGAAAGGAAATAATACCTAAACACCAATGATTTCGGAGGTTGAAGTTTCCTCCTCAAGAACTTGAAGAAAAATAGCAAGAACAAAATATAAAAGCTAGGAATTAATCTATGGAATGGAATGTGTTTTAATGATGAATTGAGGGCTTTATATAGGCTAAAGAATGGAATATTTTAGTTTATTCGAGCCCAACAATAAGGTATGGAAGCAATATTTGATCACACTTGAGGAAGATGAAGTTTTCCCATAAAAAATCCTCTTACACGTTGGACTGTTTTGTGCAGAATCGGGCCTACCCGGCGCCGGTTCTTCGTTGTGTGCAGGAAAAACTGGAAATTTTGGCCTACCCAGCGCCGGGTATAAGGCCTACCCGGCGCCGGGTAAGCTACTGGTTTGTGCCATGCGAAAATTAACAAACCGGCGCGGGTTTGGTGCAAATTCCGGTGCCGGTTTTGTCCTGGGATTTTGGGGATGTTCCGCTTCGAATTTTGACATGATTGCTTCACCAAAGTTGTAGATAATGAAGTCTTCTATCCACCAAAACTTGAATGACGTGAGTTTATTCAGCCAATCAAACGATATGGGTAAAACACTAAGAGGTATGCATCCTGAAATCCCACCAGCAACATCTGACTTTGTTGGTTGATTGAGTC